TGTGAAGCCTGTTCCGAGCCAGTCTGCTCATCACAGCAAGACCTGAAAAGGGAGAGAAAGGAAAATGTTGTAAATCAGATTGAAAAATGAAAACAGAGACAACATGATAGAACATCCAATAATTGGTTCAGATGCAGGTCCTTGTTGGTGGATATGAAGAATCCAAGGCAGTTTTCTTCACATACCTTCAATCATTCTGTAAAGTGCTGACCACCATCCATCTTTAGAAATCAGGTTTTGATCCAGAGACTCTTCGATTGCTTTGTTGTGTTTTCCTTCCAAGACTCCCTGAAGAGTTATCACGACGTCCTTGGTTTTCTTGAGCTGTTAGAATTTAAATATTTTAATAAAAAATAAAATAATATATTTTATAAATTGAATATTTTTTTTTGAAAAGCAAAAAAAATATTTATTAATGCGGAGTACAATGAGTAGTCCACCCGTAAACATCTCAGTTTGAAAGTCACAGAGTTAATAGCCCTTCCGTTAGGTGTCGACACCTATATTTTGTGTCGACACCATGTCCGTGTTGGGTTTCACAATGCTCAGCCCTTCCAGAATACCCTAACCTCCCTTGTTGATATTTTTGGCTCTGGGTTTCCTTAGTTGCATTTCTGGTACCTGCCAACTGTTTGCAGCATGCTTGTATTCTTCAACCTCCTCACATCCTTCCTTGATGCTTCAAACAGGGGATTTCACCGAGTTAGCTGCTTGTCCTTAATCTTTTCTCTTACTGGCACAATTGAATTTTAAGCAGCCCGTCGGGTATTGAATCCAATCTAACAGTGAAAAATAGCAGCCTTCCCTTTTACCTTTGATCCAGTTGAATGCCCTTATCTGTACCATCTCTAATAGCTTTCTCCTGTCAACCTCTTTCTGTTTAAAGATCTTCTTGTTCCTGGCAAGCCAGATTGCCCATGTCACCATGAACCAGATACACTCCCATCCAATCTTTTCTGTAGTCATTTTAGCTGCATTCGGGTGCTGTTCAAAAACCTTTTTACAGTCTTTGTCTTGTACTGTTCTAATGCCCCACCACTTGTAACAATCCCTCCACAAATCTGAAGCTATTTTACAGTGTATAAAGAGATGATTGGAATCCTCATTCTCCACCCCGCAGAATATACACTTGCACTCCTCGAGATTTTTCAGTATTCCTCTTTTAAAGAGATTGCTTCTTGTTGGGATCTTGTTTTGCAATAGCTGCCATACGAAAATTGATATCTTGGTAAGGATGAGCGAATTCTAGACCATTTGTGTCACCCTTCTTGCTTGTTCCACTCCATTTCCATCTGACAATGCCTTATATGCAGATTTTGTAGTGTATCTCCCATCTTTATTATGCTGCCATTCCCACAGATCCTTTTTTCCTCTCTCGATTGTGATGTCATGGATTTGATTCAGCAATTCTGCTTCCTGCATCTTCTCCCAACTGTACAAGTTCCTTCTCCATTGTATATTCCATATCCAAATGCCATTGTTCCACTTTCCCATCTGATTAATCTTTTTATTCTTTCCTGTTGAAATTAAGTAAAGTCTTGGAACTTTGTTAGCAAGACTTCCCTTGCCACACCAACTGTCCCACCAGAAACTTACCTCTATTCCTTCTCCTACCTTTAGCTTTAGCCCGTCCTCCAACCATCTCCTATTCTCTTCTGCTATAACATTCACTCTACCTAAATCCCTCCACCATCGAGAGCCTAGACCCGTATTCTCCCTCAGCCAATTGTAGCTTGGATCCCCATCCCTCCCATATTTCTCATAAATGATTTTTTTTCCATAACCCACTATCCTCCGACACCAGTCTTCCCCACCACTTACCCAACAAAGCCATATTAAACTTCCTCAAATCCTTGACACCCAAGCCTCCTCTCTCCTTATCCTTGCACACCCGACCCCACTTGACCCAATTTACTCTCTTACCCTCTTCAGTCCCACCCCATAAAAATCTTCTACGGATTTTATCAAGTAAGAGGAGCGTACCTTTTGGGATCAAGTATACTGACATCCAGAACACAGGAAGGTTGGACAGCACTGAGTTCATGAGAGTAATTCGTCCTCCGAGCGATAAATACATCCTTCCATGTAGATAGCATTTTTTTGAAGATATCCACCAAAGGTTTCCAAAAGGAAAGCTTCCTACTGCACCCCCCTATGGGAATTCCCAAGTATTTATTGTTCACACTAACCATTATAGGTTAATTACCTTGCTTAAGAGTACATTATTTCATAATAATTGCCCAATTTATTTTTATTATTAACCTATAAATGGGAGTTACAAGACTCTAAATCCTATAAATAGGACATGTCTTTTTGCTCAAAAATAGTGTATTCCTCCACATTCTTCTTTTTTACCTCATTTTATTTTCTAAATATTCTTGGGTAAAAAAAGATGCTTTGAGTTAGGTGACTCTATGAATAGTGTAGATTCATAAAGTGTAATTATAAAACTGTAGTATCCTGAGAGCAATATATTATATATATTTCTACCTTAAAGTAAGTAAGCTTTTCACGCTTATTTTGGTAATATTATCTTATCGATATTTTTTGATAAGCTCACTAATTATTATTTTATTTAATCTTGCGACCAAGACACAACAATGACATGATG